TCCCGACGGCATTATTGGCCACTCTTTTGGCGAAATAGCGGCCGCTTATGCGGACGGAGGGCTCACCACAAAAGAGGCGCTTCTCGTCACTTACATCAGAGGATACGTAACCGAAAGCGATAAGAAAATACCAAAAGGGCTGATGGCTGTCGTCGGCATGTCTTGGAATGAGGCCAAGAAGTTGTGTCCGCCGGGGGTTAGCGTTGTCTGCAATAATGCCAAGGATTCAGTCGTTGTGTCGGGTATTGAGTGAGAAGTTTGGTTTAGTTAGCGTTTAATTAACACATTTATTATCAATTATTTCAGGCATTTATGACGAAACTAAAAAACTGATTGAATCGCTGAACAAGAAGGGAGTGTTTGTTCGCGAACTCGAAAGCCATGGCATACCATATCATAGCGAATATCTGTTGACTTGTGCCCAGAAGATGACCGACGAGATCAGGAAATGTGTTCCCAATCCTAAGCTCAGGTCAAAGAAGTGGATTTCGACCGCAATTCCAGATTCTGTGGCGAAGGATGAGCTGCGATACGCGTCGGCCGAGTATTTCGTCCATAACCTCATTAGTCCCGTCTATTTCTACAACAAAATCCCTCAAATGCCAGTCGACGCCATTGTGGTCGAGTTGGGACCGCACGCGCTCTTCTCCAAACTGGTCACACAATCACTCGAGTCCTCCACTTATCTGTCGTTAATTAAAAAGGACTCAAACGACACAAATCTGGACATGTTTTTGGCATCAATTGCCAAACTCTACGAATTGGGATTAAATCCGGCGATNTTCTCCAAACTGGTCACACAATCACTCGAGTCCTCCACTTATCTGTCGTTAATTAAAAAGGACTCAAACGACACAAATCTGGACATGTTTTTGGCATCAATTGCCAAACTCTACGAATTGGGATTAAATCCGGCGATTGAGGAGCTGTACCCTCGGGTGGAGTGGCCGGTGGCCCGGAATACTCAATCGATCAGCTCGTTGTGGCGCTGGGATCACAGCGACAACTATTACGTCCGCCGGTTTCCCGACTTTCATTTCAAAGCCAGCGCTTCCGATATGAATGAATCGATATCACTGTCGCAGTCATTCAAATGTCATTTACCCGACCATTGCATCGATGGTAATGTCATATTCCCGGCCACCGGTTATCTGTTGCTCGCGTGGAGACAATTGGCCGCCAGTCGGGGCCGACTCTGGAATCAAATACCCGTTGTTTTCGAAGACATTCAGTTCCGAAGAGCTGTGTTTCTGTCGGACACCGAAACAACTAAACTCAAAGTTAAACTCTTTGAACAAACGGGTGATTATATTATAGTTTTTTATAACTTGCTTATTGTTCTTAAATACTAATCCATAATTTATGCCCACTTTTAGGTGAGTTTGTTGTCCTCGAGAATAACAATATCTCATGTTTGGGCCGAATCCGTACGTCTGACGAAGAAATACTTTGTGTCCAGAGTTTGATTGAAGAGCAGAATAGTGTTGCGAATGAGATGGAGATCACGATTGATGCCAACGATATCTATAAGGACTTGCGAGTCATGGGTTACGACTACGGACTCATGTTTAGAGGGCTCAAGAATATTAAGACAAACGACTTCCAGACTATGAACGGAACCGTTGAATGGGAGGGAAATTGGGTGACATTTATGGATTCGCTGCTGCAGTCGATGGCCATCGCTATGCCGTTCAGAAAGATGATGGTTCCGGTGATGATCAAGTCGTTGAAATGCAATCCCAAAGTGCTCTACGAAGCGCTCACTAAGAATAAAGTGGTCGAAGAGGAAGGGAAGCGACGGATTGAGGAGAAGGTCGCCGAAGATCTGGAGCAAAACACGATGGAGACCACCGATGAGGGACTCCTCGAAGCCAACGATTCTCAGCAACTGTTGGAAGAGTTCGCCGAACAGAAGTTTCACGTCTATAAGTCTGTTCTGCCATTTCATGTGGACATGAATTCCCGAATGATTGTCACCCATGGGGTGGAGATCGAGGACCTGATGGCACTTCCCATTCCTCGTCGGTCTAATATATTGGACTTAAAGCTGGAGTCGTATCAGTTCGTCGCCAACGATGAACACAATGCTATCGAGTCTTACGATCGAAATAAAATTGAAGAGTATTTAAAGGTCTGTCAAGTGATTGAAAATAATGTTTTGTCGGTTTTATTTCATTGAATTTATTTTCTATATTTAGGTTTGCGCTAAATTGTCACATAAAGTGAGACAAACGCTTGGTTTAGATAATAATAACATTAAAAGCGATGAAATTAGCGACGATTTAATTCAAAACTATTTGAATGATATAAAAGATGATCAGATTTTACTGAAAATTTTTGATAAATTACTCAAAATAATCAACACATCAAAGGATGCGAACGATAACGTGGATCAAAAACTGGCCGTTTCTAAGGCTAACGCTTTTGTTTGCGATATCAAGAATAGACCAGAATTTGATATGAGTTTAGATGTGGTAAATCAGGTCTCAAAGAATGAGCACTTGATTCGCTCTCTTCTGGATATTGTCAGTGAGAATAATGTCCCCAAAAAAGAGATTAAAGTCTTGGAAATCAATTTAACAAATGGTCTGATGGCCAGAGAAGTGGACAATCATTTGGCTTCGTCTGCTATTTATCCAATTGATGTCAACTATACTATTGCTCTCAAATCTATTGATGGCATTCACGACGACTTTAAGAAACAATCGTTTGAATTGAACGAATGGAATCACAAGACGTGTGTCTTTCCATCAGACATATCGCCCAAAGACTTAATTATCATTAATGACTCCCAAGACTTATATGACATCAAACTCGATGATCACATCCAAGAAGTGTACGACTGTCTGACAGACAACGGATTCTTAATCTCTGTTTTCCGGACAAAACTCACTGAACCCGAAATGACTTTAAATTCAATGAACGGTAAAAAGTATTTACAAAACCAGGACTTAGAGAAAAGAGTCACCGATTTCTCAATAACCGCCAAAAATACTGGTTTAGCCCTAATTAGCAGTAAATTTGATTCAATTGGTTCAATGGCTTTGCTATTTAGAAAAGCATTCACTAAACCAATCGCTCCGACAGTCGACCAGATTATTGCGATTAATTCCGATCACAAGAATTGGTTTGATTTACTTAAAGACAAATTGAAGGCAAATAACGAAGACGAAGAAAATAAAGATAAAATATGGCTCATTGCCAGTGATTCTGCTAGTAATGGTATCATTGGTCTCATTAATTGTCTGCGTTTAGAGCCGGGAGGAGATAGCATTCGGTGCCTCTACGACGCCGACCGTCTCCTAACACTTCCCATTGACTTTAAGAGCAGACCCTTCGCTGATATCGTGTCCAATGATTTGGCCATAAATGTAGTGAAGAACGGAAAGGTCGGCACTTATAGACACTTTACTTTAGCAAAAGATTACGACAAAACCGAGTCGAGTGACTATTTCCTAAATGTGGGCCACAATCGAGATCTTTCGAGTTTGCAATGGTTTGACTCCAATAATATCGTACCGAAGACTCAATCGTTTGACATTTCAAACAATGCGGCCAAACAAATCCATTGCGATGTCTATACGTCTGGTATTAATTTTCGCGATGTTATGTTCGCAACAGGTATTGATTTTTTGTAACTTTTTTAAACAACATTTTTAAAAATAATTTTTAATTGAATTAAAGGTCGGATCGCTTCGGGACCGCAACTCTTGTTCACCGATTGTTTGATTGGCTTAGAGTTTGCCGGAAGAAGAAGTGATACGGGAGAGAGAGTCTGCGGCTTTGATATAAGCCGCTGTTTCGCCACATCTATTAACGCTAATGAGGGACTCATAACAGCCATTCCCGACCACTGGTCTATGGAGGACGCGGTCACTATTCTGTGCACTTATAGCACTGTATGGTATGGTTTGATCGAAAGGGCGATATTGAAGAAAAGTAATTAACTTTTTCATTGAATTACTAATGAAAAACTAATGCTCTTATGTTATAACAGATGAAAGTATTCTCATTCATTCGGGCGCCGGTGGTGTGGGTCAGGCGGCCATCAGAGTCTGTCAGTTCTATGACTGCGATATCTTTGTGACGGTCGGCACTGAAGACAAGAAACAGTTTTTGATGAATGAATACAATATTCCGGAGAACAGAATATTTAGCTCAAGAGATATTCAGTTTAAATACAAAATTAAATCTTTGACGAAAGGGAAAGGCGTTAATTTGGTGCTCAACTCTCTGACCGGTGATAAACTCGACGCAAGTTATGAATGCGTTGCCGATTGCGGGAGATTTATAGAGATCGGCAAATATGACCTCCAAATGAACAAACAGTTGGGAATGTTTTCATTCCTTAGAGACATCTCATTCATCGGCGTATCAGTCGATAGGAAACTATACTTTGAAAACGGATTTGTAGATAGATTTTATAAATGGATGCACGAGAACTGTGACAACGGAATGATTACACCAATCAATAGAACCGTCTTTAAGGCCGAAGAAGCGGAGAAAGCGTTTAGATATATGACAACCGGTAAACACATGGGAAAGATTGTCATCAAAACGAGAGATGAAGAGACAGATAGAAAACCATTAACTCTTATCAATCCTTCAGTCACTTTGAAAGTGACTTCGAAAACATATTTCAATCCAAACAAGACTTATATAATAACCGGAGGTTTGGGTGGATTTGGTCTGGAATTAGTCCATTGGATGCTCTTCTTAGGCGCGCGAAAGTTTGTCTTAACGTCGAGATATGGTGTGAAACAGGATTACCAGAAGTATGTATTGAATCGCATTTCATCAATGGGTGGGAACTTCAAAATGTTTGAGACAGAGATTGTTGTCTCCACTCATGACACCAACACATTNGGTCTGGAATTAGTCCATTGGATGCTCTTCTTAGGCGCGCGAAAGTTTGTCTTAACGTCGAGATATGGTGTGAAACAGGATTACCAGAAGTATGTATTGAATCGCATTTCATCAATGGGTGGGAACTTCAAAATGTTTGAGACAGAGATTGTTGTCTCCACTCATGACACCAACACATTAGATGGCAGTCGACAACTGATGACTGACGCCAACAAATTGGGTCCAATCGGCGGAGTCTTTCATTTAGCTCTCGTCCTCAATGACTGTCTTCTTGAGAATCAAACATACGATAGATTCCAGGAAACCATTGATTCAAAAGTTACAACTTTTAAGAATTTGGATCAAATGACTCGAGAAATGGCCACAGATTTGGACTATTTTGTGGTCTTTTCATCTGTAAGTTGTGGTAAAGGAAACGCCGGGCAATCAAACTATGGTTTCGCAAACTCTATTTGCGAACACATCTGCGAACAAAGACGTGCCACAGGTTTACACGGTTTGGCCATTCAATGGGGACCTATCGGTGACGTCGGAGTATTGGCCGAAACAGATGTCGTCAACTCTTTGGCCGGAATTGTGAAACAACGGATCAATTCTTGTTTAGATATTTTGGATAAATTACTTCAATCTCGCGATGCGATCGTCTCATGTGTTGTGAGTTTGA